TATGTATATTGTGAGATCTAAAATCAGAGGCTAGTTAACGATACAATTCTTTTGGTAGACGAATGTACTGAAGTTGGTAACGATGTATGTTTGAATAAGAGCCCTAGTATATATTTGGTAGAGTAAAAATGTAAAGATTTTGGTACACAATAATCTCCAAACATTTGACCAAAAATTCTACTTCAAAGTTCGGCTCCGACCCTAGGTAAGGGGGTTAAAAACAATATGGTCTTAGGGTTTTTAGGGGGTTAAAACAATATAGTCTGAGAGTACCTAACGGAAACACTTCACAACCTGTGATCACCCTACTCGTCCGTGCTATATGAATAGGTGCACACAACATGTGTGAGCGTTTATAGGAGTGTATGTTTGCGAGTATAATTGTGTACCACACAGGCACACACACAGAGCCAAAGACAGCGACAGAGGGATTGAGACAAAGACACAAGGACACACTCTCCCTATCTCCTTCACACACACACACACATACATATATAAACACATATATACATACATAGTAATTAAATATCTATATATGTATACTTATATAATATATATACATATAATATATATATATATATACATATACAGTAAATAAATATCTCACACATATGTGACTCACCTTTCGTTGGACGGCTTCAGAGACCGAGATAGGCACTACTTTCAGTGCCTGTAAACCCAGTCTTGGGTTATACTCTGACTGTTTGACGAATCCCGAGTCGACCACATACACAATGCCATCGATTGTCAGTGAAGTCGCAGCAATGTTTGTGGCAACAATGATCTGTGATAGGGAAAGTGTGTTTGTGTGTGTGTGTGTGTGGAGATGGACATATGTCTGAAGGTATGCACACAGAAACAAAACGCATACACACACACATACCCACACCCACACAGCCGTTGAAGAATGAACTGATGTGTATGTTGAGTCTATACCTTTGTAGATGCCTCCGCATGTGAAAATATACAAACGTGCACACAGAGTTAAAACATACACAGAAATCGAACGGCACGTTTGTGAATATAGAATATATATAATTGTACATAGATGGAGATAGGTCTTTGAGTATGTACAAATGTGCACACACATAGAGATAAAACATACATAGAGATAAAATCGTACATTTGTGAATATATACAAATGTACTTACATAGAGATAAAACCGTACGTTTGTGAATATATACACATGTACATACATAGAGATAAAACGATACGTTTGTAAATATATACAAATGTATATACATAGAGCTAAAACGGTACGGTTGTGAATATACACAAATGTATATACATAGAGATCAAACGGCACGTTTGTGAAAGTATACAAATGCACATACATAGAGATAAAACGGTACGGTTGTGAATATATACTAATGTACATACATCGAGATAAAACGGTACGTTTGTGAATATATACAAATGTATATACATAGAGCTAAAACGGTACGGTTGTAAATATACACAAATGTATATACATAGAGATCAAACGGCACGTTCGTATATGTGTAAGCATACAATCTCAGATATGGTACTTCCTACGCACCTTTCGGATACCCTTTGGCGCGGGCGCAAATACTTGTTGTTGCTTGTGACCAAGCATTGTACCATACAATGGTAGCACTAACAGCCCATTCACCGTGCGGTCACTGACATCGTACTTGTAGTCTAAAGTCTCGGACTTGCTGAACAGCAGATCACACGCCTTCTCTATCTCGCTCTGTGTGTGGGTTATTAGGAGGGTGAGAGTGTAACAGTTGACTCGTGGTGTTTGGGTGATATGATAGGTTAACGGTGATGAGTGTAGGGTTGTGTAGGTAATTATAATCACTCACGCAGACACAAACGCAGACACAGACACAGACACAGACATAGACACAGACACAGACATATATATATATATATAAATAGCTTTCACCAACTCATTATATACTACTATTGTGAGATAAGGAATTCACGCTAGTTTGAACAACTTCTTTTAATAGTAGTATATAATGAGTTGGTGAAAGACTAGACTGTATTTTTGGGCCCAGATATATATAGTTGATAATGTGTCAGTATAATAATTTGGTTCACAGAACTCTGATAATGACACGTGTCAAAATAATTCTAATCTAAAAGTTCGGTA